AAAAATGGAAATTAGATAACTTACTCTTCAAAAAAAAGGAAGAAATGAACAAATCAAGAAGGAAATCAAAATATTCCTTTAAACAAATGAAAATGAAAACACAACATACTGAATCCTATGGGAAACAGGTAATGCAGTGACAAAAGGGAAAGAAAAAAACTCATAGCAATCAATGCTTATATCAAAAAAGCATGAAGATCTCAAACAAACTAAATTTGATCTTAAAGAAATAAAAAATAAACATTAAAGAATAAATATTAAATAATAATAAATTAAGGAATAAATATTAAAGATCTGAGCAGAAACGAGTGAAATAGACTTAAAAATAATACAAAGGGTCAACAAAACAAAGAGTTATTTCTTCAAACTTAACAGTACCTTTCTTACCCAGAAATATTAAGGGACGATTCAAATAAAGAATAACAGAGACAAAAGGGAGACATTATAACTGACACCACATAAATACAAAGGATCATCAGAGATTATTATAAACAATCATGTGCTAATAAACTTGATAACCTAAAAGTGATGAACAAATTCCTGGACCTTATCAAAAGTTAATCATGAAGAAATAGAAAATCTCAGTAGACTAAGAAATTGATTCAGTAATGTCTTCCACCAAAAAAAAGCACAGGATCAGATGGCTTCTTCTCAACATTCAAGGAAGAACACAAATTCTTCTCATATTGTCCCAAAATATTATAACAGAGTCTTCCAAACTCTTTCTATGAAGTCAGCCCAACTATTATATCAAAATCAGGCAAAGACTTAAAAAAAAAAAGCTACAAGTCAATATATTTGATGAACACATATGAGGTATCCTTCCAAAACTCATGTGTGACACAATGCAAGAAAGTTCAGAGATGAAATGAATGGATTATGAGATGTAACCTAATCAGTGGAAGAATGAACTAATAGATTAACTGAGTGGTAACTACAAGCAGGCAGGGTGGGGCTGAAGGAAGTAGCTCACTGAAAGCATGCCTATGGGGCATATTTTATCCCTGGAGAGCAGAGCAAAGTTCTCTCCCTCAGAGTAGCTGACATGTTCTGAGCTGATTCTCTCACCATGCCATTATGACATGATGTTTTCTTTCACTTCATGCCCACAATTGTGGACTCCACTGACCAGGAGTCAAAATAAACTTTTCCTCCTCTAAATTGTTGTCACGTCATTAGGACACACCAACACAAAAGATGATGAAAACAGAAACTGGTACCCACAAGTGGGGTCATGGATGGGACTAACCTGACCACATGGTTCAGAAAACTTTGGAGCTGGTTTGTGGGAAGAATTTTGAAATGTTGAGAAATGCAAGTTGGAAAAGTTTTAGGACATTGTTAAGTACAGATTAATGGGCAATTATGGTGAGAGCTCAGTAAACCAGGATGACAACAGGACTATGGGTAGTGAAGATTGATCTCATATTTCAGAGAAGGAAGACTCTAGACTAGGGGCCATACATGGGACATTACTGCAAAAAAGTCATCTTCATTTTGCTCATGTCCTGAAACTGTGTGGCTAAATTTATAGGTGAAGGACTAAATCTAGCAAGCAAAATTTCACAGCAACACGGAATTCAGAGGGTAGCATGGATATTGCTGGCAGCTTTCAGCCAAGTTTTCTGCAATAATCCAGAGCAGAAAGCAAAGCAGAAATATTTGAATAACTTGGATTTGGGCCAGAAAAGTGCAAGTAAAACCAAGGCTAAGGAAGGATATTGTAGTCACTGAAGAGATGTGTGCATTTTACCCAGAAACAAATAGGAAAGATGGCTTGACAGGACCACACTCATCTCAGACTCAAGATTGAAAAAGCAAAAATTACTTGGGAAAGGAATTTTATAGGTGAAGGACTAAATGATAACAGGACTATGGGAACAGGATAGAACTCTGGGGAATCCTGCTTGCACAGGGGGGCCTAGGAAGTTGTTTCACTCTGCTCAGCTGCACAGGCACTTAGAAGTTGCTGCAGTCATGATTCCAAGAGACTTGGGAAACAGGGTATCACTGAGTTGCTTGGCACCTTGCTAAGCTGCTGAGGCTGGCTTTGAACTTGCAATATCCTGCTTGAGCCTCCTGAGCTGCTGGGAGAATGGGTAGGTGGCACAAAGATATAGTTAGGGAGTAAAAAGTTCTGATATGCTAACATATGGCAGGGTGACCATATAGAATGATAATGTAGTTTGTATTTCAAAAAAGTAGAGGAAAATATTTTTAATATTTTCATAATAAATAAATAACAAACATGTAAAGAGTTAGATGTATTTAATCTGATTTAAACATTTCACAATATATACATGTATCAACAATCACAAGGTACACAAATGTTTAGAATTTTAAGTTTTCATGTGTTCATTTAAAAAAAAATCTTACTTTAAATCTAAAAAAGAAAAAAAATTGACATACACTTTTTTCCTCTAATCTATATTCACTGAGGAAAAAGATGTCATTAGACAGGAACCTAAGAAAAAGTTACAGAAATATATTCTTAAGGGAGAGAGAAGATTTAAGTGGGAGGAAAAAGCTGTAAGCATCACAATATCTGACTGTGAAGCCATAGTAACTAAGAAAACATGGTATTTGCATAAAAACTGAGACAGTCAAATGGAACAGAAAAGAATATTCAGAATTTAATTTACATGTTTACAACCAAGCTACTTTCAACAAAAGTGTCAAGAAAAATACTGGAGAAAGAACAAGTTCTTCAACAAATGGTGCTAGTAAAACTCTGTGTGTGTGTGTGTGTGTGTGTGTGTGTGTGTGTGTGTGTGTACACACACGTGCGTGCACATGCAAAAGACTAAAACTAGTACACTACTTTGCCCATATTTATTTTGCTTGGGTTACTGGAAAGGCTGCTAGTGTTATATAATATATAACGTTGAAAGTAGAAATGCTCAGCTTTTTCCTGACCTCAGAGGGAAACAATCTTGGTATGTTAGGTGTGTATGACAAAAACTTGGTATATCACCCAGGCTAGGCTTGACTTCACCATTCTCCTGCTTCAGCCTCCTGAGTAGCTGGGACTACAGATAAGAATCATAAATCTAACATTAATATCCTGATTTCTGGTCTTGCACATATGTCCTTTATAATTTTGGGAAACTTATCTGTTGTGTGTAATATGCTGACAGTTTTTTTAAATCACAAATGGATATTAAGTTTCACAGGTTATTTCACTGCATCTATTGAGATAATCACGTGACTTTCTTCATTTTGTTAACATGGAAAAAATAATATTGAATAATTTTTAATGTTAAACCAGACTTGCTTTCTTTTTTTTTTTTTTAGGTTGTAGTTGGACACAATATCTTTATTTTATTTTTATGTGGTGCTGAGGATCAAACTCAGGGCCTAGTATGTACTGGGTGAGCGTTCTACGCTGAGCCACAATCTCAGCCCCCAGTCTCGCATTCTTAACATTAAATCATACTTGATTGTTATGTTCCTCTTTATACAATTATATTTTATTTAGCAATATTCATTGAGAATTTAAGAAGGATACTGATATCATATTTTCTTCTTTTTAAAAGTCCTTTCTTTAGATGTATTAAGGTTATTCTGGTTTCATATAAACAGAAGGGCAGAGACCCTTCATCGTTTCTGAGGAAATAATTGTACAAAAATTTTTGTTATTTTTTTCCCATCAATATTTGATAGACATTACCCATGTTGGCCAGATTTTTCTTTTTTTAAATATATATATATCTTTATTTTATTTATTTATTTTTATGTGGTGCTGAGGATCGAACCCAGGGCCTTGCACATGCTGGGCGAGCACTCTACTGCTGAACCACAACCCCAGACCCCTGACTTTTCTTAATGCAAAACGTTTTGGCATTACATTTAATTTCTTGAAAAGATACAGGCTATTCAATTTCACTGTTTCATCTTACAACAATTTTGGTATAGTTCTTTCTCAGGGAAAACTTCACTGAAACTAAGTGGTTTTATTTTTTGATATATAGTTATTTATTTTTCTTATGATAATTTTAATATCTGTAAGATCTATGGGGTTAACTCCCTTTCATTACAAATATTGGTGATTTGTAATCTCTCAGTCTCTTTCAGTCTATGTAGGGGATTGTCAGTTTTGTTATCTTTTTAAAGGTAACAGTTTATGGATTTAATTTTCTCTCCCTCTTATTTGTTTTTTTCAGTGGCTCTATTCAACTCTGTTCATTTCTTCATTATCTTCTTTCATTTACTTGCTTTGAGTTTATCTCATTCTTGTTTTGAACCTTCTGAAGCTGAATTTTAAGTAGCTGAGGAAAGATCATTCTTCCTAATAATTAAAGTTTTGTTTCTTTCTAAACAATGTTTGAACAGCATTTCCCGTTTAACTATCATTTAATCCAAACATTTTCTAATTTCCAAGTGATTTTATCTTAGCCCCTTGAATTATTTGGAAGTATACTGTTCAATATCCTGATACTTAAAGTTTTTCTAACTGGTTTATGACTGTAGTAAGAAAACACACTTCTATATGATTGTGATTCTTTTAAATATAAGATCATTCAGAGACCTTAAAAAAAGTGTCTTCCACTATTGTTGGATACACTCTTCTATGAATGCCAATTAGATAAAGCTGGCTCACTGTATTTTCAAAATTTTTGTACACTCAGTTATCTATTTATTTAGTTACTTTTAAAATTATACTGCTCTAATAAAAAAACTGAAAAGGAACAACTAAGAATGCTGGCAACATTAAAATAATTAAAATTGGTTATTGTATCAAAACAATTACATCTGGAATTGATTTTATTTGATCAGCTAAAAGGTGCATTTATGCTGCCATTATTACATTTTCAGAAGAGTTTAAAATACAAAATTTGAGAGAGCTTCAAAGCAATTTCTTAATCTAACCATGCTGATCTTGATGAACCAATTTTTAAAAAGGGGGGGTATAAGTGAAGAGAAACCCTTCAAAAAAAATTGGTGACAATTGTTTTTAAAACATTACTTTAACACTCTTTTTATAATTGAAAAATACCAACCTGAGGATTAGAGCATTTTATCTCCAGGGATTCCAGGTCAACATGAAGACAGACAACAAATGAATGTCTGGCATCAGGTCCTGTAGCAAGTAGTTTTTGAGATGTGACAGCTAGAGTAGAGGTACAACCCATAGGTTCCACTAAGCTAAGTGTCGCTTGTTTTCCAATAAGGGTATATATGCTGAAATGATGCAAGTTGATGGTCCATGGAAAAGCATCACCTGTTAAAGGAAATAGGGAGGCACACACATTAAAAAATACAGTTAACTGTCACTTGATAATAAAAGTTCTACTATTTATATTTGAAATATAAAAAATTTAACACTGTATCATAAAAAGCAAATAGATCCAGATCAAAAGTGCTAAATAAGTTAAAAGCTTTAAGTTATCTGTTTAGGAATATACTTCTATAGCAACAATTATGCATATCATAAACAATAAATGAACAGTGGAGAGTGTATTGTGTAACAGTTGGAGATGTATGCATCTGTACTGTGCTCTAGTAGGCTGTTCTGTGTAACAGAGGTGTATGCACCACATTTTTAAAAAAAATCATAGAAAATGGCATAAATTATGTGAATACAGTAATTTTTGGAGGGACTAAAAATGACCATAGACTTTTCTAGGGAATGAAAGAAGAAACAGTAAACAATCTACTATAGTCTTTTGGACAACCAGTATCAGAATTGTGTGGGATATTTACTTAAAATAGAGGTATCTGGGTTCTATTATAGACCAACTTAATTATCTCTCCTACTAATACTCAGTAAACATTTCATTATTCCCTGGATGATTCAAAAGTATTAAAAGTTCCTTTTAAATAAAATGCTCTTAATAATAAAACTAACACTCAAATGTCAGTATTAAAAGCAAAATTCCTTTTCTTCTTTTATATTCTTTTCCTAATTTATATAAAATTATTTCATTAATATAAATTATTCATATAAAACATCTTAGTTTTTATTATATCTACAATAAGTTACTCTGTAAAATAATTTTTAAAAATTCAGTATAAGAAATATTTATAAACATTTATTTTTGTGATGTCAGATATTCCTGTCACTTGTATTTTGGACTACAATTCTGACAGCACTTAACATTATACAGGGTAATAGCATCTTTTTAAGTAATTCAATTATTTAAGTAATTTAATTATTTGAAAATAAATTGAGAACATTTATATCTAATTATAGAGGTACTCAGTAATCACTATAATTTAGAATATATGTTATTTTAAAGAGTAATATATTTTATCCTGCCATTCCAATAAGTATTATTAATATTTGTCACAGTTCTTTCTATTAATATTTTTCACAGTTGATAGTTGTGCTAGGACAGAAGTAAGATCAGGGAATCACACGGTTCTTATAATTTTACATTCTTTATTCATTGAAGAAAAAATACCAAGTGAATTACTACAAGGATCATACTGTAAATATATACTTAAGCAATCTAAATGTTCATTAGATACACTGGGATAACAGGTTCCACAGGTAGATTCTCATCAGGATGAACATTCAATATGTTCTGCTCAAATGTACTTCATAAAAGTGTAAAATAAGAATCTTTGAATTGTTTTTGTATGCAATGAATTTTTGCATCAATGTTCATCAGGGATATTGGTCTACAATTTTCCTTCCTTGATGCATCTCTGCCTGGTTTTGGTATCAGGATGATACTAGCTCCAAAGAATGAGTTTGGTAGGATTCCCTCCTTTTCTATTTCATGGAATAATTTGAGGAGTATTGGTATTAATTCTTCTTATTAGGTCTTGTAAAATTCATCTGTGAATCTGTGTGGTTTGGACTTTTCTTGGTTGATAGGCTTTTGATGGTATCTTCTATTTCCTTGATTGAAATTGATCTGTTTAAATTGTATATGTCTTCTTGACTCAATTTGATTTGATCATATGCCTCTAGAAAATTGTCAGTGTCTTCGAGGTTTTCTATTTTACTGGAGTATAAATTTTCTCAGTAGTTTATAATTGTCTTCTGTATTTCAATAGTGTTTGTCACGATATTTCCTTTTTCACCATGGATTTTAGTAATTTGAGTTTTTTTCTGTCCTTCTTTTTGTTAGGGTGACTAATGGTTTGTCAATTTTATTTATTTTTTTCAAAGAACCAGCTTTTTGTTTTGTCATTTAACAAAAAATTCTTTTGTTTCAATCTCCTGTTTTCTGATACTTTGGGTTTCTTCCTCTTTTCCCAGGTCATTTATTTGTTGATTTTTTCTTCTTTTAATCAATGAACTCCACGCAATGAACTTTCCACTTAGCTTTGCCTTCATAGTGTCCCATAGATTTTGATAAGTTGTATTGGAGTTCTCATTTTCCTCTAAGAATTTCTTTTTTATCTTCATCCTGATGTCTTCTGTTATCCATATATCATTCAATAGCATATTATTTAATATCCAGGTGTTTGAGTAGCTTTTATTTTTTACTTTATCATTCATTCTAATTTCATTCCATTATGGTCAGAGAGAATGCAGGATAGTATCTCTATTTTTTGGTAATTGCTAAGACTTGCTTTGTGGCATAACATATGGTCTATCATGGAGAAGAATACATGTGCTACTGAGAAGGAAGTGTATTCACTTATTGATGGATGGAATATTCTATATATATCTGTTAAGTCTAACGCACTAATTGTATTATTGAGTTCTATAGTTTGTTTAGTTTTCGTTTGGAAGATGTACCCAGTGGTGACAGAGGTGTAAAAGTCACCCAACATTATTATGTTGTTGTTTATTTGGTTCTTTTAGTTGGGAAGGGTTTCTTTGATATACATAGATGCCATATTGTTTGGGGCATATTTATTACAGTTGTCTTGTTGTATGAATCCCTTAAGCAGTATGAAATATTCTTCTTTATCCCTTTTCACTAGCTTTGGTTTGGAGTCTACTTTATCAGATATGAGGATGAAAACCCCTGCCTATTTATGTGGTCCACATGAGTGGTACATTTTTTTCCCACCCTTTCATCTTCACTCTTTGGGTGTCTTTTCCTATGAAATGAGTCTCTTGAAGGCAGCATATTGTTAGGTCTTTTTGTTTTGTTTTGTCTAATCCGATCTGTCAGTCTATGCCTCTTAATTGATGAGTTTAGGCCATTCACATTCAGGGTTATTATTGAGACATGATTTATATTCTCAAACATTTTGGTTTTTAACTTGACTTGGTTTCTCCTTTGATTGGCCTTTCCTTTAGTGTAATTCCTCCCTTCTCTTGGAATATTTCCTTCTCCTGGAAAATTTTGCTGACAATGCTCTGTAGCACAGGCTTTCTCACTGTAAATTCTTTCAACTTTCATTTATCATGAAAGGTTTTTATTTCTTCATCAAATCTGAAGGTTAGTTTTGCTGGATATAAGATATTGGGTTAGCAGCCATTTTCTTTCAGAGTTTGTTATATGTTGTTCCAGGATCTCTTAGATTTGAGGGTCTGGGTTGAAAAATCTGCTGAGATATGAATTGATCTTCCCTTATGTGTAATCTGATTCCTCTCTCTTGTGGCCTTTAAGATCTATCCTTATTCTATAGGCTAGGCATTTTCATTACAATGTGCCTTGGTGTAGATCTGTTGTAATTTTGTACATTTGGTGTCCTATTAGCAATCTGTATTTTAATTTTTAATTCATTCTTCATGTTTGGGAAATTTTCTGATATTATTTCATTGAAGAGATTGTGCATTCCTTTGGTTTGAATCTCTGTGCCTTCCTCTAATCCCAGTAAATCTTAGATTTGGCCTTTTGATACTATCCCTTAATTCTTGGATGTTCTATTCATTGATTCTTACTATATTCACTGTGTGGTCAACTTTATTTTCAATATTGTATATTTTGTCTACATTATCTGACATTCTGTCTTCCAAGTGATCTAGTCTATTGGTGATGCTTTCTATGGAGTTTTTATTTTTTTATTGTTTCATTCATTTCAAGGATTTCTGATTGTTTCTTCTTCTTTTTTTCTTTCAGAATCTCTTTCTTGAAGTAATCTTTTGCTACCTGTATTTGCTCCTTTATCTCTTTGTTGGTGTGATTGATGGTTGCCTGTATTTGCTCTCTTAACTCCTTGTTGGAGTGATCAATTTTTGCCTGTATTTGTTCAATTAGGTCCTTCTTTAATTCGTAGATCATATTAATTATGTACTATCTGAACTTCTTCTCTGACATTTCATCCACTGCATTGTCCATGCATTCTATTAGTGTAGCATCTTGGTTTGTTTGGGACACTTTCCTCCCTTGTTTTCTATGTTTTCTATATGTCTCCCTTTCTTGCAGTGTGGATCTGAGGTATTACAGTTTTTACCCTATAATCTCCTGCATATTACCTGTACCTCACTTTGGTGTTGAAGTTCTAGGCCCCAGTATCCAAAGATAAATGCTACTGCAACTAAAGGTGGTGGTAGTAATAGCAGAGGTAACTCAAGACAGCAATGAGGGTGTCCAAAGATGGCTACAAACACTTTGAGAGATGGGGTTGAAAGAGTGGGTTACCTGTTTGGAGATACAGCTGCCTCCAGGCCCTATCTGTTGTCCCAAGGTCACAACTACTGTGTTGGGAGGGCTAAGACAATGGCTACAAGTGTCCCAAGATGGAGGTGGGCTGGGCTTGGGCTTTGGCATGGGTCTGCTGGTCAGCAGGGCCATCCTGGACCTAACCTTGACCTAGGCTCCTGTGCAGTTTCAGAGGGACATACTAGGGGATTAGCCATGGGTCTATAGGTCAGTGGGGCAGTCCTGGGTTCTGGCTGGAGCCTGAGCCTGGGCTTTGGCGTGTGTCTGCCTGTCAGTGGGATGGTCCTGGCCCCAATCTTAGCCCAGGCTCCTATATGGGTTGACATGGAGGTTATATGCCTAAGCCTGGCTCCAGCTAGGTCTGCTGGTTGGTGGGGTGGTCCCTACGACTAGGATTTTAATTTTATTATTATTATTTTCTTGAGACAGGGCCATTCTAACTGTAATGAGTTGAAATCTCAATGTAGTTTTGCTTTGTATTTCCCTGCTTGCTAGGAATGTTGAACATTTCTCATATATTTGTTGCCCATTTGTATTCTGTTCAGAAGTTTCTTTTTAGTTATTTTGCCCGTTTATTAATTGAGTTATTTGGTTTTTTGGTGTTAAGTTTTTCTGAGTTCTTTTTATATTCCACATATTAAAACCATTACCGAGGAGCAGGTGACAAAGACCTTCTCAAATTCTTCAGGCTTTCTCTTCAAGTCTT